CCTCCCCCAATCACTCCCCTCACTCACTCTCCCCTAATCACTCCCCTCACTCACTCTTCCCCAATCACTCCCCTCACTCACCCTCCCCCAATCACTCCCCTCACTCACCCTCCCCCAATCACTCCCCTCACTCACTCTCTCCCAATCACACCCCTCATGCCTTCACCTGCTCCCCCAATCACTCCACTCTCTCAACCTCTCCCCCATCACTCCAGTCCCTCCTTCAACTCATCCCCCAATCACTCCATTACCGCCCCCCCACATCCTTTCCCAATCATTCCCTTAGCCCCCAGACACACATCCTCCCACAACACCCACAATTCTGTCAGTACTGAGGGAGTGCCACACTGTCGGAGGGTCAGTGCTGAGGGAGCGCCGCACTGTCGGAGGGTCAGCGCCGAGGGAGCGCCGCACTGTCGGAGGGTCAGCGCCGAGGGAGCGCCGCACTGTCGGAGGGTCAGTGCCGAGGGAGCGCCACACTGTCAGAGGGTCAGTGCTGAGGGAGTGGGCACTGTCGGAGGGTCAGTATTGAGGGAGTGCCGCACTGTCGGAGGGCCAGTGCTGAGGGAGTCCCGCACTGTGATAGGGTCAGTGCCGAGGGAGCGCCGCACTGTCGGAGGGTCAGTGCTGAGGGTGAGACTGACGATGCCCTGTACCATTGATGACATTGTCTTGTGATGATATGTGTAACTATGGTGCAGTATATTGTCTTGTCGTGTACCAGATCCTACATCAATCTTTGACGAAAATCTGGGGGAGCTCTTCCCAATATCCCGTCCAATATTTATCCCTGTAGCTTCATGTTAAAACAGGCTATCAGATTATTGTTTGCGGCCTGTTGCTGTGCGGCAGCGTTGTCACTCCAGGAGTGGCCCAGGAGTGTGTAAAGCAGCTATGATTGTGGAAGGTGCTTTCTGATTGGAGGTATCTGCCATCTTTCATGGCCTGTGTCCCACACTTACATCTCTCCTCTTTTTCCGGTAGCTCTTTCGAATCAGCATCCCCCTGGTGTAGGCCTGGATAATGGTCAGAGCGGCCAGCCGTTTGGAGTTGTTCTGGCGTACCAGGTAGCCCCGACACTGTGCCTGGAACAGGATGATCCTCCTGCGAGTCTCGTTGTATTCCTTCACCATCTTACGGCCATGGTATAGTGCCTGTAACCTTTGGAAACCGAGCCTCAGCTGGAAAGGAAATCACCATCATCAACATAAAACCAAACTGCTGAGCTTCCCAGCAAACAAGAAAACCATTCAGCACATTGCAGACTTGTCAACGCTCTTCTGGAGCAATCCTACACTCATTCCATGCCACAACCCCTCTCAATATCCCTGCATCCGTCTTAAACTAATCCCACTGTCCCCACTCTCCCTGTAGCCGTATATAAATCCTAAACTAATCCCATTGCCC